CAGGTTGCTATCAGGGAAGAGACCAACACAGATGAAGCCAATAAAAGATGAAGAAGGAAATTTAATTACGAAAGAAGAGAAACAGAGGAAACGATGGGCCGACCACTTCAAGAAGCTCTTGAATCGACCACCACCACCTACACTTCGTCCAGAAATACCACCTGCATCCGCTGAACTACAAGTGAACATTAATCCCCCAACGAAAATGGAAGTCCTGAACGCCATAAAGCTACTGAAATGCGGGAAAGCAGCAGGACCAGATGGAATACCGCCAGAAGCACTGAGAACAGATGCAGAGACAACAGCGGACATGCTCACACCACTATTGCGGAAGGTGTGGAAGGAAGAGAAGGTACCGGACGATTGGAAGAAGGGTTACCTTGTCAAACTGCCGAAGAAAGGAGACCTCAGTGCTTGCAAGAACTGGCGTGGAATCACTCTCCTGTCCACCCAAAACAAGTATAATATTAAGCCGCATCATCCTGGAGAGGCTTAAAGATGCACTGGATTCAAAACTGCGACCGGAACAGGCAGGCTTCAGGAAGTACAAATCATGTGCTGACCAAATTGCAACGCTTCGCATCATCATAGAACAGAGCATAGAATGGCAATCAGCTCTCTGCCTCAACTTCATCGACTTTGAGAAGGCCTTTGACAGCGTCGACCGAGAAGTGATTTGGAAACTGCTTCAATACTACGGAGTACCGCAAACCTTTATCCGCCTCATCCAACAACTATATGAAGATGCCACATGCCAAGTAATTCGCAATGGGAAGCTCAGTGATACTTTTGAAGTGAAGACAGGAGTGAAACAAGGTTGCCTACTATCCCCCATGATATTCTTGATTGTGGTGGACTGGATCATGCAGCAAACAGTAGGCAGCGAGAAGAGGGGGAAACGCTGGACGACGGAAAAGAACCTAGAAGACTTGGATTTCGCCGATGACTTATGCCTAATGTCACACAAACTTGAAGATCTGCAGGCAAAAACTAACAAGTTGACAGAAGAGGCAGGGCAGCGAAGACGGGACTTCAGGTGAATATAGAGAAGACAGAAGTGATGAAGATACCGCACCACCACCATCAACAACAACAACAAACTCCAATCACCGTCAACGGGAGAAACTTGAAGGAAGTAACCTCCTTCACCTACCTAGGAAGCACTGTTTCAACTACAGGCGGGACGGACGAGGACGTCAAAGTCAGAATCGGAAAAGCAAGACAGGCCTTCATTAGCCTGAAACCAGTGTGGAGATCTTCTGCACTCAGCATGCGGAACAAGATCCGGATTTTCAACACCAACGTCAAGTCAGTGCTCTTGTATGGTTCAGAGACTTGGCGCGTCACGAAAGGGATTTCCAATAAACTACAGACATTCATCAACAACTGCTTACGCTCGCTACTGGAGATCAGATGGCCAGAAAGAATAAGCAACAAGGAACTCTGGGAACGAACCAACCAAGAACCTATCACGCAACAAATATGCAGGAAGAAGTGGAGATGGATTGAGCATGCACTGAGAAGGCCGACTGAGGACATCACGCGTCAGGCCAGTTGCTCGAGTGGAATCCCCATGGGAAGCGACGAGTTGGACGTCCGAGGGTGACATGGAAGAGGTCGTGCTAGGAGGAAATGAGAGCTTCTGGGCTGTCGTGGGACCAGGTTCAAAAGATCTCAGAGAACAGAGGTCACTGGAGGCGTGCTACTGAAGCCCTATGTTCCACTAGGAACCCAAGGGACTAATAATATAATAATAATAATGATCCTAGAGTCCGATTAATAGGAATCAACAAACCTGTATTCTTTCTGGAACCCTTACAGCATTTGAACGATTATTTCAAATCCCATTGCATCTACCAAATCAGATATACGTATGGTGACATACATAGGGAGGACTCACAGGTTCATGCAAGCAGGGGTTACGGGGCATATTCAAAGGAGGGGTTCGAAAGCAAATAATCGTAGAAGCTGAAAATGTACTTGTACTTCACAGTCCTGATCTGAATCCCTGGTGGCGTCATGAGTGCACACTGCTGAGTAGTTACCTACTAGGACGCAACAGGTGTTCAGTGCACCCAGGTTCCCAGTGGTCCTCTAACTATCGGTCCTTGATGTATACCGCCTTGAAGTCAGTCAATCCCCGCAAACCTCTAAACCGAAAAATGATCATAATTGGATAATTTGTTTTTCTTTGTTGAAATTAATTGGCTATCGTCTTGTATACTTGGTAGACTTACTGAAGATATTTTGCAAAGCATGGAAGCGATTTAGTTGGTTATCAGTAATGGTTATTTTTTTGATGATCACCGAATTCACTTACAATCACGGTCTCATCAGATTTACTTAATTAGACAAAAGTGTGGTGACTCTTACAACTAGTATAAACACAGATATATCAAAATCTGCTTGGTGGCTAGCAGTGGAATCCCGGACGCACGTTTCATTCTATTTGAGGTTCCTCAGCTGGATGTGATGGCACTCCAATGAGTGGTGCTGTTCCCACTGATACTCGTTGCACAAGAGGCATCTCTCGTGCTCCAAGGGTCTAGTGGACAATGCTCTGGTGTTTGAAGCGTAGCAGCTTGAGGTTTTTGAACAGTCTTCATCAAAATTATTTTTCGAAGACCTGTTGGATATTTACTTCGATGATGATTGAATTCAAAAGGAAGTCTACTTTGTATCAGGCTTTCAGACACGACCCACTAGATTGCTTTACCAGTGTTCCACTAATAGGAAGTGGCCTAAATTGAAACCAGTATTATAAGTAGGTGGGTAGGTTTTCAACCGTGTTTCATGCTACTGTGTGGCCAGGGAAAATCTTATTGCATAATTTTGCTCTTCAGCTGATCAATAAAAATGAGCATCCAACTTCTGACCTAGTTGCTTTATTTTCTGAGCAAAAGCTGTATATAAATGATGTGTCAAATAAAGTCTTCTTTACAATCACAGGATAGTCTTTGTCTTCTGTTTTTCATGGTTCAGCGAAGTATCAAGTCTGGGGAGAATAGCTGCTATTCATATCCAGTTCAGTATCTCAATGGGTTAGTAACGTTCTCGTTTTTCGTATTTTTCTGCCAGTCACTTCCATTCGGTCACTGCATCTACTGAGATTTAAAATCACCTGATAATGAGGCTTGAGTTTCAACTAACTCACTCAACCCCCTTCACTCGAGTGACTGAATGATTCCAAAGGCCGCCTTAAAAACCGCTGAAATAACAAACAAAGTTTCTCAATCTTGGTTGCAAAAGTAGTTTTTTTTCAGAAAATAAAAAGCGTAATAGGTTATTACAGTAGTTAATACAGTCACTTTTAGACTCACTTTTTTTGACATACTACCGGGTGAATAAGAGATATTCAACTCTATCTATGAGACACAATCTTCCGATCATTTATTCGCATTCTAGCATACACCGCACCTTGATCTATGGCTCCTACAATATTTAGTCTAGTTGGGAAAACAGAGCTCATATTATGTCGTTCAAAACGTTTTCTTTTTCTTCTTTCCGGGCAGTTTCTTTGCCAGTGTCCCGGTTTTCTGCATGGAAAACATTTACTCTGTTTGTTGTTATTCATTCGAACTGCAGCCACCTCCTCCTGAAGGTTGTCGATTTGTTCTTGCCAGTTATTTACCACTGGTGACTCCACTGCTGCTACTCCTGTGCCCATTAGCTGTCTGGTCACCTTGGCCATCTCACTAATGTCCATGGGTTGGGCTGCGTTGATTAGTCGTAACTGCTTGGCGATGGCATTCGGGACACTTTCGGTGAATTGTGCTGCCAGCAACTGTTGTTACGAGTCCTCATCCAACGTGGGGAGTGCTCGTCGAAGTAGTTTGGTCAACTTCACAACTTCATCAGCGGATCTTCGTCTATTCCCAGTTTCGTGCTCCGGAACTGCTGCATCACCAGCTCCTTGTCCGCTGGGATGTCAAATTCCGCCCCCAGGCGTTCAACCATTCTCCGCCAAGTCTCCTCCCCATCAACACGTTTCACGCCATCATACGCTGCTTTCTCCCTACCCCTCAGCAACGTGCCCAGCACCACGACCTTCGCCCCTGAATCTCGGATCCCCATCAGCTCCGCGACCGACTCGAAGTCCTTGAGGAAAACCTTGATGCCTCCATCTTCGAACACTGCGGGCCACAGGATCTTCATCGACACCAATTGAAGAAGCAAGAAGACAGATGCGAAGGAAAGAATGTTTATTGGCAACTATTGGAACGGTACTCGTTAAATATAGTACACCTTGCAGTAAAACCGTCATTTGCAAAATGTGCTTTGTTTCCTTTTCTGCTTCTCTCTTGATTTGGCCTTCATGCATTCTTATCAGCAACATCCACTGTAATACGCCTGCATTATCCCTTGCGTTGCTCTTGGCAGAATCCTTACCCATTGCTGCCACCCTCTCAATATATACTACTTATATCCATTCTTATCAGCAACGCCCACTACACTGGATCTAATGGGACAGAAACGCATCCGAACTAATGCAAGTTAAGCGGTAATATGCTGGCCTCACTGAACGCTTCTGTGAACCCTTGACAGCCTCACTTATGGCAACTGATAATGTAAAGCGGACAGAATACCAAGCAAAAATTTAATATACTCGTCATAAAGCTGAAATCAGAAAAGTGCGATAGTTGTAATCTATTAGGATACAGATATACGCGTGACTACTGCCCAAACGTATACTAGGAAAGAGTCTCAATCCTCCATCACACCGCCTTGGTGATAACTAATAGTTATATCCAGTGTTGAGATTAAATGACCGCCACACTAAACAGTATCTCACTTTATGTCAAAAAGTTTAGAGGTCAGTATTAAAAAGTTAGTTTTTCTGAGGCTTTTTCCAGATGTTTACCGGTGGCTAAATAACAGTTCCGAGTATTTACCTTTCTTTCCCTAAACAATTCTAATTTATCATATCCTAACAGAAGGTATATCATGCACATTTCTTTGTGACAAACGTGCAAAAAAGTATCCCAGTAAGAGTTCTAGTGAATACGAATCAAAAGTATTCCCTAATATTTATCAAATAAAACTCTAATCGTTGTACACACAAAAGAATCACATTTTCACGGTTGTATACTGAAGATAAATATACAAATGTAATGGATCATAAGGAATAAAAATTAAAAAGTTCCAACTGTTGGTGTGATTACTAGCAGGAAATTTGCTCGAAATATTAACAAAATAAAAACTTATCGTTATATGTTAACTTATCGAACATATACAACTCTATTCGCTTGAACTAAAAATTTATTTAGAAATAACTTTGAAAGCAAAAAATTTGTGATAAATCTGTTTCAACTGTACGTCTAAAAATGATGTATTAATGAAAGATGGATGTGAAAGAATAATGGAAATGTTCGATATAGAAAAATGAATGATAAAATATCCTGTAGCAGTAGTAGTAACTGTCCTAATTCTCAATGTAATTAGATGTATAAAAGCATTGGACAAAAGTAAACACAATTACAAGTATACATGTTATAAAATATCGAATTTGGCCAGTTTACAAAAATACGAGTAAAAAACGATTCCTATAACAAGAACAATAATGAAAATATTAGGAAAACATCCTTTTACATTTTTCTGACTTCTTGGTTAGTATTTAAGTTTCTGGATAATAATAATGATGAAGGAATTATAAAAATATCCAAACATGATGTGCTCACAGATTAACAGTTATGCTTTAAAAATTACGACTGTGCACATTTGATTTACGACCTCGGCCACGGTTAAACTTCGGTGGAGTTAAAGGGTATCTGGATAGATTTTCGTCCTCATTTTTTGATTCATCTATAACAGCACGTGCCATTTTTATTGCGCCTTCACGTGTCGTATTGCAGCCTAAATGACCAGAACTGTGAACAAAAACGCAGCCTGGTATTCCAGTTATGCAGCACAACTGATCATTTGTAAGCGAACGCCAATCAGATGGAAATGGCAGCCTGATCGAAAAAGGTAATAGGTTTACGATTAAGTTGAAAAAGCAATGACTATATATATATATATATATATATATATATATATATATATATATATATATATATATATACTGATGGATGCAGTGTATATACTTAGCATAAGTGTGGAGCTGTGGCTCATTGGTCTAGGGAGATGACTTTCAACCAGCGGGTCACGGTTTCGGACGCCGCTCTACCTACCGAGGCTTGGGCAGCCCGGTAATATCACTAGTCATCACCCATTAGGTGTGGCTCATTGTCTGCTGCACGAATATGCACAAGGTTGTTGAGTGTATTTCGATTTCGAGTCCATGGATTTGATGTTGTTGTTAAACCAGCTTTTATAATCGAGCAGATTCACTAGATATTCTATGTAAGGCAGTGTACCGATCAACAGAACAAGGTAGAACCTTGAAATACAGTGATGTATTAATCACTCAAGCTGCAACAACGGAGACAAAATCAATCGTAGCCAAAAGCTGTTGCATTCTAAAAGAACATACGTTTATGAGTCAGAAAAGGGGAAAGTGAAGAATGACAGACAATATACTAAGTATCTGATGACAACAAATAAAATGTAGAATGTGCATTTTATCCTGCTTCTTCAGACTCGTCAGCTGGATGTGCCTGCATCACAGCGAATGATGCTTCAACAATAACCGATCGACTGATCAATTCGTCTTAGCAAAATAAGCAACGGGAGTTAACAAGCATAAACAGAATACAGTAAAGATATTCAAAATATTAAGGATGACATGGACCAGATGTATATATGTATCGCTGAGATCATTTTTCAATTACAACCAGTTTTCAGATCACAATGTTATCAGGTGGTGGTTACTGTTGATGAACGCAACTCCATACTTGAGATTTAACTTCTGTTTCAAGAGATGTGTTGCTTTCCTTTCCTTCAAAAAGAACCTTAAACTACATATTTCTGCCGTGAAATTCCTTCTCACTGTATCTGGGCTGTTATCTAAATGGAAGTGCAAAACACCTACTGAATAGTCAGAAAACTTAATTAAACACGACAAGCAAAAAGAACAGCAAGTAGTTTATTGATGAAACAACATTGAGAGGCTTTTGTAAAGCTAATTATGACTAAGTCTGACAAAGGAAGAAGTATGATGTTGTCGAACAACAGATTACACAGACGCAATGGATTTTCCTAAGAGTCATCAAACCAAATTTCAGAAGCTGACTGATTCTAGAGATTTGAATGTAAAAGTGGGGAAACACCCTAATAAACATCTTGAAGAACTGAAATAAAGAGGTATAATCTCAGGACGTTGCGTGACCCACTGAAATCCACTGGGTGTAAAATACCAGGACTTTATTGTCTGGTTAAAATACACAAACCCGGATTTTCGCTTCAGCCAGTCTTGTCTGTGTATAACCCATTCTTTCACAAAGTCATAAAATGATTGATTTAGATCTTAGGACACCTTCAGAAACATCGAAAATCATTGTTTTGATACTAGTAATTTTCCGTTGTTACAAAGGGCCGAATTGCTCGACCTCTGGAAATCATTGTGAAAGATGTCTTTGATTTTATCTCCAGTGACAAATGAATATAAGTCAAAGTGACGGGAAAATAAATCAATATTATAACTCCTGAACTTAACCTCAAAAAATTACTTTTCAGGTGTCCAATGAATGCATAATTTGTCATCAACAAAGCCTATTAGAGACAGGCAGATGAAATCACAATCGACTCGACATTAGACCCCATTCTTGAAAATTTCCTTCCAACCAAACGAGAAAATGAACCAACAAAGAATGTCATCCACAAGCTAGATATGTATTACTCATATATGGATGACATGTTCATTGTCATTGGTCAGAATAAGGATAGAAACAGTGTCAAGGAATTTTGACAACATAAATACTCCATTTGAGAGAACATGAAAATAAAGCACACTTTATTCGTCTTCTATTACGCGGATGAGGAGATAGCTCAATTCTTAGAAGAGTGGACAGAAGGAGTAGGTCTAAATGTTAATCCACATACTTCATTAGTTCTATACATATGCGGTAAAAAAAATTTACTGAAAAGTTTGGTAGCCCGAGCAAGAAAATCTGCTCATATGATATGTAACAGAATGAGTTAGTGCACATTTTGAATTGCTGAAGTGAAACAGGTTGTCGTCACAATTTTCAGAAAAGCATACGAACAGAGTGGGTATAAAACTTGATGCAAGACATTGTGCGAACGAAACCACTTAACATTAAGGCGGCATTTGACTCTGTGTACCGTAAGGTGTTGTGGCAGTGTCTGACTGAAAGCAGTACCGACAGGTATATAACGCTAATCAAAGCTCTCTACTCGAATTCACGGACCCGTGCAAGGGGTTATAGAGTTTTGCCACCAGAAGCAAGGACAACCAATGGTGTCAGCCCGGGATGTCCACTGCAACGCTTCCTATTTAATTTCTTCATAGATGTATCCAAGTACATAACACTAGATACATCTGACTTTAGTAACATATTGCGTAAAAACACTGACTACATTCAGGGTGTTCTGAACGCGCTAAGCAGAAATCCGAGTACATCTCGGATGCGTTTCGCTGAAAACTGTTAAATATAAAATGAAGCTCCAAAACTGGTCTGCTGCAAGTACCCCCAGACTAATGATAGGGAGTGAAGTGGTGGGATGTGTCGACCATTTCACTTACCTGAGGAGTTATATCAGCCCGAACGGGATGGTCGCTGACGAAATCTCAGCTCGGATACAGAAGGCCCGTGTCGCATTTGCCAACTTGTGTCATCTGTGGCGCCGACTGATGAGATATCTGACCACCTATCGAAGGAAAAATATACTGTGCTACGGTCCGTTCTGTCCTGCTGCACGGCTGTCAGACAAGGCCGTTAAAAGTAGAAGAAACGAACCGACTACAGGGGTTTCGATCACAAATATTTTCGCAACATTGCTCGCGTTTGGTGGAATCACCGTGTGAGCAATGCTGAGGTCAGGCGAAGGGTACTAGGCAAAACAGGAAAGTCAATTAATGAGATTGTGAACCTTAGTCGACTGAGATGGCTTAGACATGCACTGCGCATGCAAAGCCACCACCTACCTCGACGTCTCATGCTGGGGGAAGTTGGATTAAATTGGAAGAGGGTTCAGTGTGGTCAGACAAAGACCCGGCACCAGTTGATGAAGTCTCTTGCTGTTGGTCTCAGTCGTGTGAGGAGATGTAGACTGCTTGGTTGGAGTCCCCCAGAGGACAAGAATCAGTGGTTGAGGACTCTCGGTGACATGGCTGAAAATCGGTTACAATGGCGCAGATGTATTCACTTCTTGACATCTTCTAAAGCTCAAATATTCGCACTAACCGTCTTCACATTGTTTATTCTCTCACACTTCTTTGTATTCTTTGATATCATTTCTTTTCTACCCAGTTGTCACGTACTACTGTGAAGTGTGGCAACTTGAACCAATGCACCTGTGTCCAAGGTTTTACGTAGATTTTGTCAGTCAGTCATGATTTATAAAGCTAAAATTTAGTGGGGGTATATATGCTTAATACGATCCTATTGCATAGACTATCGAGGATCAATAAAATAACTCGTAATGCAGCTAATCTGTCTTTCATTCTCATGTTAAACGCAGGACGAATTAACAAACTTCGTCACTTTCATGTGTACTTGCCAGTGGCTTTTGTGGAGAAAGCTACATCGAGTGTACGACTAAGCAACTTAACCAGTGTATTATACAACACTTACCTTCGTGGTTGGAAAAGGGAAAGTCGAGGCTATAAGAAAAAACTCTGTCATAGAATTAGGTTGGTAGTAACCAATGAGTGGACAAAACGAATGCGTTCAAAGTGATCCATAGTATTCCAACGAACCTTTCCGATGGAGTTCAAACCTTCATTTTCCATATGGTTGACTAAGTAATCCAGAACTCTATATTGAAAAGACATTTGTGCACCCTTTATCTCTATACTGGCCCGGAAAGACTTCATGAATGACGTTACTGATAGGGATTTTAAATGTTCTTCCCCTTTTTATCTTGCCACCCCCTTCATAACCCCACTACACTCACATTAAAACTTTATTCATCTAGTCCCTTCATCCTTCAGTATTACGCGACATTGTTTTTATCCCAGCTATATCCTACCTTATCTGTATGAACACGTGTTTATATTATCATGTCACTCTCAACATCCGTATTATCCCACATACCATCAATATTTTCACAGTACCAAAGCGCATAAATCCGCACCCTCGTTAACAGTGACTGACAGCTGACCTCGTTTGGTCTATATATATATATATATATATATATATATATATATATATATATATATATATATATATATATCAGGTGAATTATAAAACTACTTTAGCAGACTTCGAGAACAATAAATTTTCTAGTCAGTGAGATGAAACCACGTCCCAAATACTAGGTTAATTAAGTATCAAATAAATGTTTTAAAATATGCTACGGAATAAGTTGAATAGCTAGAAACCACTGAAGCCGATCTGCAAATTTCGCCACGCAGGTCAGAGTAATCTACACACCGGATGGCCGTTTCGGTCATTTTGAGCCGAACTAGTTAATCGTCGGTACATGTGGACAAGTTTAGCTCACACAACCAAATAGTTCAGATCACCTGAATCTGGTCTAACTGACCGGTATAGCCTAAACAGGATGATAAATTTATAAGTTATTCTCGAGTGGCATCTAACTACTCAAGTCATTCAGTAGTAAATGTTATTAGTCCAAAACACTTTTTTGTCAGAAATCACACCTTGCGATCTTGGCTACATAGTCTCCAACAGAAACCCTGTTGATGTTACAATCGGGGATTTGAAAAGCTAGTCAGCCGTAAGAAATGTCAATGTGGATCGTCCAATTTGTATATCATTTGTAAATTCATCATCCTAAATAAACTTTTTCCACCCAATTCTTAAATACAGAAGATTCATTTGTAAACGTTTCAACAGTTGATGCAGGCTTTTAACACCATGTGGTTCTGACGTTAGGTGACTGTTGATGCTGAAAAATACTACCGATAGCAGTGCACACGTCTGCAGGAGGAAATTGAGTAAAAGTACTATACAATGTTTTATTTCTTGACAAAATTTTCACGAATAAGTCAGTTTTCGTGCTGTTGCTTCAGCATTTGTCAAATGTTTAGAAAAAGTATAAAAAGTAATGCATATAAATCACTTTCGAACACAAACGACAGTAATAGCAATAATAATGATGAGACTACGAAGGGATTTAAAACCCCCACTGCGACCATATACAGAATGGACATCAGAAATCTCACTTAAGAATTTCAATAGACCTACAAACGCACTTAGAGAAAAACTCCATCAACCACAGGACTGTATGAAAACCTGTTAGATAAAGCATTGTGGCTTACTAAGTACCATACAGTGACTCTAATGACAAATACACCTATCAAACTAGCTAGCCAGGGTCAACAATGCTAGCAAAACAGAAAAACTTAGCGGAGAGTAGGATGGTAGACTTTAGCAAGATAAGAAATCTAGAAAAGAGCTCAGTTATAGGCATACACGCTGTCACATAATCACAATAAGATGGGTAAGAGTGATGATTCTGAAAATTACAAAGGAAAGTGGAAAGAGAGAGGTTGATAAGTGAAGTCGTTTATTGAATTGACATCAAATGTGTAACAGGAATGATAAAACAGTAATTTCAAATGTGCAGAAAACTTTACTACCAATAAATTTAAAGCATGAACTCAACCAATAAGTCGGAAAGATTTGTGTTTACTTTTATACGGTTATGTACTCCAAAAGTGTTCCAGTAGAAAATAAGTAAAACAAAAGAACCGAATGGACACCATCACCTAAACCGAATACAAAATACTGAATCCTTAAGGTGCTTACTGCCATTAGCGAATATAAAACAATGAACAAGACATTGTGTAACAGTTCAGGTTGTCACACCACATGAAGATAGAAGGCACCAAGTAGAAATGAGGAACACTGAAAGCCTCAACATGCCGTTTTAAGCATGTTTTCAGGAGACAAGACATGCTGTCCCGTAAATTCAAATGGCTATCAATTAACTGAAGTAATTTGGATGTCATGACTACATTTTAGCTTCATGATTTCAATCAACATTTTGCTCCCCGTAAATTTTACTGGTACGTTGGATTTTTTTCTTGCGATCTAATTTTGCAGAATTGTACCAGTAAATAACAAACCAGATCTTATCAATGAGCTGCTGCTCATCACAAACATATCAACCTAACACATTGAGACACACTGAATACACACTTTCATCTCAGAAGATATTTTATACTCATAATCTTTACACTGCATCGCTCAAACCAAAAATAGCTTGCATATATGGTGTTGTTGTGTTGATATAAATAGACACTGGATACACTGACTATTCGCATAGCTGAACACCTTAGAGGAAACAAACGGGATAGCAGTAGTAAGTAAACAATGGCGGGAAAATGCATAAAAATATACGGCAGCATACCGTACTTCGAACTTTTCTTTGGGGACACCTTGGACGACCCAATTACCATCTGACGGATGAACGACGAAGAGAATCTGTGGAGGAAATTTCGGCATTGGGCGATAATTCCCTTGACGAAGCGGTTCAGGATATACTGGCGTTTCCATACGTTCTTCACGTTCCAAATCATATAGATGGCTTTTCCAAGGACATGATGTTTCTAAAACTATGATATGTCTTGAAGGATCCACATCTTCACGACAGCCCATTGCTTCTATCACAACATACCTTGCAGGCCACCAGCAGTGAGTAAAGTAGTGCACAGTATCAAGAAACTCACGATCGACTAAATCAAGAGCTTTATGAAATGCGATCTATTTGTGAAAAGGTCAAGTAAGAAAATTTCCGAATAGATGAATTTATTTGTTTAAAAAATATATCAGTAATAAGATTACATTTAAAAACTATCGGCAGAAGAAAGTACAAAGAGGTATACTTAAATGTAGTGCAGTGCGACTGGTTCAGTGAGTCAGGAAACAATCAATACACTGACTACATAAGTTGGTTTAACAACGAACGTGATAAATGAGAAATTCAAAACATGACTTTAACATAGCAGCTACGATCAGGTAAAAAAACTGTAGGTATTAGCGATTATATACAAAATTATTGTTCCGGTCGGTCTATATGGCATGTATGACGATAAAACGGAGGTTTGTCCCAGTAAGTTATTTTCGATAACTTATGCTTAGGCCACTGCCCTCCCTTCTTTTTCGGGGCGTTAGTTTGTGACAGGACATTAGAGGAATCCTATCCATATATCCACTTGGTTTTTCCTCACAATTCATTGTCCCCATTACTACAGAGAACACGATTAGTCGGTGACTGGTATTCAAACTGGGCGACAAGCACAGTCCCATCTAAGGCATAACATAGTAGTAGAATGGTACTACGAAACGGAATGGTCAAGTGCCTTGTTCCAAATAAATGCACTGACAGAAACCCGGGCAAACCCACCCGATGAGTCCTACAGTAGTGATTTAACATCGTTACGTCTGTTAACGATAATGCAATTTCCGTTTCTTCTAAAGATCCTGTAGGTAGGTGGGCTAGTCAGCTAACCTTTTTGACAAAACGTTCCGACCTAGCGTTATAATTTTGTGATATTCCCTATGTCATATACACAAACATCTAGTCATCAAGGTTTCTTCTAGCTATCACGTACGTGCAGCTTCCTAATGGATGAAGCATAAAATCTTCAAAATGTCCAAAATGCATGGCAGCTATCATGAAGAGAGATTCCCTGAAAGCGACTGGTGAGTATACCGGTTATTTTCCATGAAATTACATTTAGTTAGTCAGTGAGCACTCTATCTTGATTGTATTCGAAACTTACAATGACATCTGTTCTTTTAAACTGAAGACGACACATCGACAGGAAATTATTTACCAGGCTGTTAAGGAGAGAAACTACTGTATCTACGACCTAATGTTTAGAAACGAATCAGTCCTAAGATATCGACGATGATGTTTGATTCGGTATCATGGACTAAAGTGATGGCAAAGAGATGTGACAGTTTGTTAGTGATACAAAGGGATTTAAGTGCTGTGAGGTCCGACGGTTGTTAATATTTTCCAGTTCCTCACAAAATTATCGGGATTTATCAAAGACAAACCTTTGCAAGCTCTGTCTTTATTTTTTCTTACACTAACTTTTTCAGTCACATCAGACCAAGATGGTCGATTGCCCAAGAAGTATTAGCAATCACACATGATTGGTATTATTTAAATTTCATTGTTGCTCATTCTTCCTCTAAGTATCAATTTTCCGAAACAGTAATTTCTTTCTTACGCATTGTACGGAGTGACCGTTAAATACGGATGGGCAGTGGAGGAAACGCGATTGACGAAGTCTTTGTGGTACCAACTATACATGATAAACCCCCTGAGGATAGTTTAGGAACTGAGGTTTAAGTAGAAGGGGAAAAGTAGTTGACAGGAATATGAACCAGCATAAACTGACGTTTGCTGTGTCTTTTTCTACCCATCTGTTTTTTTCCATGCCGTAGTGTAACGCGAAAACTTGAACTGATGGATTTTTGCGCAACCTTAGCGGCTAGTTTTTTCATGTTTGTCCATGCGCATTTGTCACGTATGTTCAACAATGCTACAGAAAAAGTCTCCAAGAAAAAATAACAGTGACATTGGCCCAGATTGAAATAATACTTTAAGTTAAGAGAATGGAAAGATATTGCAATGAAGGATGAGAAGGAGATTCGCTGTAATGTGTTCAGGACGTAAAACAAAGAGTACATATACGTACATAGGCAAAGTTTTGACTAATCTAGAAGAAAGAATCAAATGGCTACTGATGGAATCCAACTGATATAATCAGAGTTGAATTCACAAAGGGGTAAAATGTCCGACGTAACAGTCGAAGTTGTTACACTTTATCTAGTGATAAGAAAACTTGTTCGAAAACCGGACTAGAATATTAACAACAGCGGAAGGATCGAAAATTGACATTACGACACAGTAAACATCTTCATACTAAGATGAAGAACACATTGCGTTTGCAATAACCATTTGTTTCGCGTATTACAAAAATCTTCATATTCACGGACGTAGTGATGGTACCTTCTTAGTATCTAGAGCTTTAAAGTGACTGCGCGGTCCTTTACAGTACCTGAGTATCCATGGCGTGCGTCTCGCTGAAAACTGTTAAATATAAAATGAAGCTCCAAAACTGGTCTGCTGCAAGTACCCCCAGACTAATGATAGGGAGTGAAGTGGTGGGATGTGTCGACCATTTCACTTACCTGAGGAGTTATATCAGCCCGAACGGGATGGTCGCTGACGAAATCTCAGCTCGGATACAGAAGGCCCGTGTCGCATTTGCCAACTTGTGTCATCTGTGGCGCCGACTGATGAGATATCTGACCACCTATCGAAGGAAAAATATACTGTGCTACGGTCCGTTCTGTCCTGCTGCACGGCTGTCAGACAAGGCCGTTAAAAGTAGAAGAAACGAACCGACTACAGGGGTTTCGATCACAAATATTTTCGCAACATTGCTCGCGTTTGGTGGAATCACCGTGTGAGCAATGCTGAGGTCAGGCGAAGGGTACTAGGCAAAACAGGAAAGTCAATTAATGAGATTGTGAACCTTAGTCGACTGAGATGGCTTAGACATGCACTGCGCATGCAAAGCCACCACCTACCTCGACGTCTCATGCTGGGGAAGTTGGATTAAATTGGAAGAGGGTTCAGTGTGGTCAGACAAAGACCCGGCACCAGTTGATGAAGTCTCTTGCTGTTGGTCTCAGTCGTGTGAGGAGATGTAGACTGCTTGGTTGGAGTCCCCCAGAGGACAAGAATCAGTGGTTGAGGACTCTCGGTGACATGGCTGAAAATCGGTTACAATGGCGCAGATGTATTCACTTCTTGACATCTTCTAAAGCTCAAATATTCGCACTAACCGTCTTCATATTGTCAGATATGGAATAATTCAGATAAATCAATGCATAGATTGCTGTAAGGAATCTGAAGTTAGACTGATTTAAATAGATTGGGCAGTGCCCATTTCCTACTGATTACTGCTCTACTGTGTGCAACAGAGAATTATACAGTTTAATTACTGGGAGAAAAAGAACTTTCGTCTACATCATAACCTTAAATTAGCGAAGTTAAACCATAGGAACCAACACATTTTAAGCGGTAAACCAAACTAAAGGAACAATCACAAAGACTAATGGTCACCCCAACGGGTTTGCAGTTGAATCACTAGGAAAAACAACCCATGCCTTCTATAACTGGCATCTGAAATGACTGGATATTAGCTGCTATAATATATGTTTCGTGTTTACACTTTCGGCACTGTGGAGATGGTATATAGAGAAAACTCAACCAGTCTGAAAGTATCTTCCTAAAAGGCTTACGTCGATGAAATAATACTCAGTCTCCAAAAGTCTGTATCAACTTGCTAGGATCCTTTATATTTTGAAATAGCGAAAATAACCGGAATTATGATTTATTATTCCGTGCACACCATGTGTTTTATTTGAATTACATTTTAGACTTTTAAGTGAGCAAATAATGATGTTTTCTAAACACCTGGCTCCATAAGACCAACCTTTATGGATTGTGATCGGTGACTGCGTAGGTTACTTCAAATCTAAATTAGAACATAGTCACTCAAGACCTATGAAACTACATAACTGCATTCAAAATGATCACATCGCTAGTTTCTAATTTTTGATTGAACTGCAGTACAATCAGGAATTGAGAATTAGCAAGTTTAGCCACTAATCTGATTGATAGATGTGCTGAGAAAATCATTTGTACAAATTCTGGACTGCATACATCTTAAAAATACGTAACGCCTGATAACTAGAATGACCAGATAGTAAGCTTAGTATAAACACGTTTCAAACAGTCAGGAAAAGTACCTAACTTACTTCGGAATCATCCACTTTATTCCACCACGGATTAAGCCGACGAACTCTTGAGTATAAGCCGGTACTTATATTGTACCTAGATAATAATTTATATCACATGGGAATCACTTCATGGCCATGTTAGACTGTACGATACCATTGTCTTGTGCATCGATTTCCAAAATAAACGATTCATATACCTAAAAGTAATAACTACCTGTGTCAATATACTTTTGTAAATATCCTATCCAAGGTGTCACTTTCCATTTCTAATCCCGTAAGCAAGGAAAGCACCTTCTTTCCAAAATGTACGTAGACTAATCCAGCACTACTGAACTTAACATCCCAGATTTTAACACCGAAATACTTAGACCATGACAAGACGAAACCCCTAGACTATGGTTGTAATGAAATTGCAGTGCACTAACTTTTGGTGGTGATCGAATCGAAACGTTTTCGGATCATATACCCCACCAACATCAACCACTACATCACAAGTAGATAGTATATTTGGATCACGTGAACGCACTACATCAGCTTCTTCAAATTCCGGCAGGTGTTTAAGTATAGCGACAGCCAGAACTTCATCACAGTGAAAACAACCATCATGCGTTCCTATTCTTTTTTTAATCGACATCATACCCATCTAGAATGAGTCCCAACGATGGGTGTGGTTAAAAGTTATCCGCACAGCCAATGTCCCCTGCCTTCATTTACAGCCGACCTTGTGCGACCGAACTAGAGCGCGTTTCAATATTAAATATCCAATATTGATAGGGCGAGAGTAGATAAGTGATAGTGTTTGATCTCTCGCGTCTAGTTCTTAGGGCTTGTTTCGAGTTGTTCGGTTCACTCCCGCAGTGGACGAGGAAATCCACTCTGCTTTCTTTCAACTAACCTCGGTGAGGTGGATGCTTTGTGGGTTACTAAGTTGTAATTTGTGGTAATTGGGGAGCTGCGGATTTCTGGGGTGGTTTGGGGACTGTGGTGACTTCTGTCTGTGTAAGTGTCTGAAAGACAGTGTCAGGGTAGTGGTAAAAAATGAAAAGAATGGAGAAGAAAAAGAAAATAAGGGAAGGGGAAAAGGAAAAGAAAGACAGAAAAAAGGGAAGAAAACGCAAGGGGTGAAGAAGATAAATGAAAGAGAGAGAAAAGTAGGGGGAATTTCTCGAGTGGTGGAAACAGATGGCGTAGGTCTGTTTCCTAGAGAAGAATTAGCGGGAAATGTGGATGTATCAAGGAGAGAGATAGTGAGTGGCAGGTAGGAGGGAGGTGGGCTAGTGAGGTTGGCGACTCCCTGAGTACGTTCGCGATAGACCATGCGAGATGACGTAACTGTCCAACCGTCTCTCGAATGAGTCAGCTGGGGGAGCTATGACGATATGTCGCGGCAAGGCATTCCATATAGCCCATACTCTCAGGGAGAAAGAATGGGACCTGAGTATGGTATTTGCTCTCTGATGTGCTATCTTAACGGGGTTTCCTTGTGAAGACAGCTGGGTCGCAGGCAAAATTATTTTTTTGGGTGGTCTGCCTGATGGGTGGTCATGTGTGCCACGGTAAAGTCACCCTTCTTCCAACGATAACCCAAGGTAAATAGGTGTTTAAGTTTTTCAGGATGTCTTTCCCCCTAGCCTCACAACGATCTTGTTGCAGTTCTTTGTGTTTTTTCAAGGAGATCAGAGTCTCTCTTGAGTGTTGCGGGGGGTCCATTCGTACTGAAGATCTCTAGATGGGGCCGGAGAACTTGAGCCACAAATCCTTCGCTATGGATACTGGCGATAACACGGTTGCTTAACATGTACTGGAGGCCGGTCTTACTTGCTTCTCATCTTTTGTGCTTTCCTCGTGCTTTTGGATTTTGGCAATCTGGCTAAGATACGGTTACATCTTTCGAGTGCAAATTAAAGCTTCTAAACATATATGTTATCCGCTAACTGTTGCTGTCATTTCCTCCGCAACCACTGGTTGCATATCTCTGGTTTTCATCAATACGTGAACTTTGGTTCGGACTTCAACGTTTTTCGCTAGTTGACTGGAAGTTGTAGCATCTTGCTGCTTTATCTATCAGTTCACTGCAGAAGCTGAGGTTGATAGACAACCAATAACTTTAATCTGTGTTTTAGGTAAGTCTCTAACCTTGCTATTTCATCGTCAGACAATAAATCGTTGCTTCTTTATGTCTGTGTCTTGTAGCCTTAACATGAGTAACGTTATTGCTGCCATGAACAAACCAGTCCATAGAGCTAAAAGATCAAAAGTTTCGAATCCGTCACTAGGGTCTGAAAATAACTTATTGATTAATGGTCCTTCTGTCGATCTGTCTGACGTCATGGCTGACGTATATAATGGTGTTAGTGTGAACAAGCGTAATATTGCTGACAACAGTAATGCGATTGCTGATCTTCAGCGTAAACTAGACTGTCTTACATCTCTGATTCGCCTACTCAACCCTACAAAGGACTTATCGGTAAATAACCTTATCAAGTGTGAAACATTGGTGAACTTTATAGCTACTGAAGCCAGCAAACGATTGACTTCGTTGCACAACTCCATTGTCCCCTATGTCCCTGATAGTTTTCCGTTAAGACGTGTTAAAAGTGATCACCTCTAAGCCTGTGGTTTGCATGAATCTGTTTGCACAGTCAGGCGTCTTAGGACGAGGGCTAGTAAATACCCCTGTTCAATATTATTCCAGTTTACTCACTCCTTGATGCGAGACACTTTTGTGGTTCACAGAAATCTGGAAGACGCTTAAGGAGCTGTGAGAATGTTAGGGTGCTTCCAGATCTTACCCCATATCAAAGACGGGCAAGTGTTTCGAAACCTTATGAAGTCCCTCTGGAAACTTCATCGAAACCAATGGCCACCCGAGGCTTACTGGCGCCTGCGAGCCAGCTCCTCACAAAAAAGGCTGACCGAGCATATTGTTGCAAGTACACCAGTTGCTACTGTTTCACCGTCCAATATGGTAGTAAACACCGAAACTGAAGGCCAAATCTCCGCAAGTTATACAGATTTATTCTCAGATGATGTTGATATGGACGGCAATGCCAATGATTCGTCCTATATGCACCTGATTCCCCTGAGTTTATCGACGAAACCTGCATCCCCCAGGTGCGGTTACGCTGTTAAGCCCTTACCGCCCTCAAATACAATGTTAACCTCTGGGTGTGTTGACAATGCACAGCCACAAAGTGCCATGTTTCGAAAATCTAAACCTAAAAGTGCTAGTTTGAGTATACCGCCAAAGCCGATAGCACAGAAGCGTTTTAGCCAGCCGTGAAGTAATTATATTCAGACTGTTAAACCTAATGGTCATAACGCCATTCGAAAAGTGGCTACGTTTCCTTGCGCAGACACATTCACGACGTCCACCGATATGACACCAAGACCTATGGCACCCTCACTAACCAACAAAAAGGTGGGATTCGTACACCAGGCTGGTAAAAAGAAAAAGAACATGCGTAAGAATGTTCAGAACACAAACGCCTCCTATAGTCATGAAAACAAGGGCTACAGGAGAAACGATAGTTTTTTCTCTTCACACCCATCCACACAACATTCAAATCCAATCTATGCTCCCCCCAGTACAACGATATCACCTCCTAATTGAAAGCCTGCTGTTCAGATGCAGCCTATGATACTGGCTCCCCAACATATTGCACCCTACCCCTTCCCATACAGAAGTGAAACCACAGTTTACTTGGCTCACTTCCACAGACACCCATACCCAGGGCTCATTCTGAAAACCTGAATTTTCGCGGACTTCAAATTTTATTGGCGCCTTTTTCTGTTCAGATGATGACGCTGTCGAATCAGCCACTCTCAACCCTAACCCACAACAGCTACAGCGGTGGGGAAGATGTTACGTCAACCTGTCATCCTCCCGGCTCATACACAGTGGGTCAACACCTAGCATAATAAAGGATAATATCAGTAGTAACCTAGTGGTATTTTATTCCCCCATTATGTCCCCGAAATTAAGTAAGGTGTTTCCCTTGGATGACCAGCAGTGCCAAGCTGATGCTGCCTTCTCAGTGGAAGGGGGGTTAGAAAAGGTCGGCCCCAAAAATAACACACTCCACCACGCCCCACGGTCTGCCGGGCCGGCGGTGTTGGTTCACTTGTCGTTTCCTTTCGCTCATCCGGCCCCAAAAATACAAAAATTCAAAAAAATCATACTCAAAAGCCTGGGTGTGACAGGCCTCAAGCAGATGTCCGATGGGCTCTGCGGTCACACAAATCTCTTTCAGGTAAATCCCGAAGAAATAGCCTTCCACGGTGTAGGCAGCCGGGAAGTGTCAACCGCCCTCACAACTCTGTCAGCACCCAAGTTTCTTCTGACTGTTACAGACGCCCGACAATAGCTGTATTTCTCGACCTGAAGGCGGCATTTGACTCCGTTGATCGAGAAGTCTTATGGCAGTGTCTGTCACTGAAAGGCGTGCCTAGTAAGTACATCACCTTATTGAAAGCTCTCTACTCGAACACTTGTGGGCATGTTAGAGCCTATGGTGAGTTGTCCAGGGAGCTATACTCATCAAGTGGTGTCCGTCAAGGATGCCCACTATCCCCATTCTTATTTAATTTTATCATAGATATTCTTATGGAGGTTTCCCTCTCGTCACCTAATTACAAAGACGTTGACCGGATCACAGGTGAATTTTCCTTAGATCTAGAATATGCAGATGACATAGTCCTGTTAGGTGAAGACGCTGACAAGATGCAGAGTCTTCTGAACACTTTGAGTGGGAATTTGAGAATGTTTGGGATGCGATTTTCACCACCCAAATGCAAATTTTTGCTCCAGGACTGGTCTTCAGCGGTACCGCGGTTAACAATAGAGAGTGAAGTGGTTGAGTGTGTTGACCACTTCACTTACCTGGGAAGTAGGATCAACTCCGGTGGGTTAGTTGCCGATGAGATTTCTGCACGGATACAAAAGGCTCGATTGGCTTTTGCCAATTTGCGCCACCTATGGCGCCGCCGTGATATTCGTTTGTCTATTAAGGGTCGCGTGTACTGCACAGCAGTCCGCTCTGTTCTACTGTATGGCTGTGAAACATGGCCATTGAAAGTGGAAGACATGAGAAGGTTACAGGTATTTGACCACCGTTGCCTTCGTATTCCGTGGTGTCACCATGTGAGTAATGCAGAAGTTAGGTGTAGAGTTTTAGGGAGAAGAGGTAAGTCAGTCGACGAGGTTGTGAACCTTCATCGACTGAGATGGTTGGGACACGTACTACGTATGCCTAGTCACCGATTGCCTCGTCACACAATGTTGGCTGAGGTGGGTTCAGGCTGGAAAAAGGCCCGAGGTGGCCAGACTAAAACATGGCACCAATGTATGAAGTCTCTGACTGTTGGTTTAAGCCATGTAGGACGATGCAGACTAGGTGGTTGGGGTCCACGGGACAAGAGGAACCAGTGGTTGGAGACCCTAGGTGATATGGCTCAGAACCGAAGTCAGTGGCGCAGATGTATACACACATTATCCTCATCTTAACAACGCTATACCGAATCTCACTATTTTGTCACTCCTCTTTCCTTTCTTCTCGTACTTTATATTTCTTTTGACTGCATTCACTTATCTTCATCCTTCACCTCACTACCTTTTTACTTGATGTGCTGATATGAGGTGTGGCAACTCGGACCGTTACGCAGTAATGCCTGGTCCTATGTTGATAATGATGATGATGATGTGTTCATATAATTCATTATTCGAAATGTATTATCATCTTTACTGACA